ACGTAATTGTACACCTAACCCTTAACTGTACCCCACAAAACCATAATAAAAAATATTGATTAAAAAAAAAAAGAAAAGAAAAGAAAATGACTGACAGTAGTGGGAAACTATGGGGGGGAGACGGGATTAATGGTAGTAAATATCTGTCTGGGGTCGCGGAAACACCTCTTATCAACAAGAGTGCCTGAACGAAACGTATTTGTATACCTAACCCTTAACTGTACCCCACAATATCATAATAAAAAATACTGATTATTAAAAAAAAGAAGAAGAAGAAAACTGAAAGTATAGGATACCTTAAATTCTCTTTTTGGTCTATGAATAAACAAACAATAAAGAATAAAAAGAAAATAATGGAACTGATTGATTTTCAAGAAGCAACCTATGCTTTTCAAGATAATTTTGTTAAAATGGTTTCACAAAATTCCAAAATGGGCACATAACTTTTATTGGATGGATCTGACGATGAATAAAAATTTCAGAGAGACAGATGTCTTTGACTTAAATAAATCTACTTAAATGTCCATGGATTACTAAGTAAAGAAAGAAGGCACAGAACTGTGTGTATACAATCATTCTTTCTATGTAATTATTTTAACGTATATATAGGTAAGACACAAATGCTTGAAATATGAACAATAAATTTTCAAGGAGGAGTAGCAGTTCCCTGGGGAACCTGAGGCAGGAGGTGGGTCACCACATTTCTCAGATTCTCTGTCCCCTTGGGATTTTCTAATCACTCACATGTATTACCTTTCTCTCTCTTTATAAATCAACAAAAGTTACTTAAATGGTGAAATTATGGCTGCTTTTAACTTCTTTTATCCTTCATATTTCCTCTTTAATTTTTAAAAATACCTACTGAATATTTTACTGATTGACCAGTTTCATTGTCTTTTGATATATTCCTTCTTCTTCATTCTCAGTGTAACAGGAATTAATGAAGTGAGAGTTAGGACAGGGTAGGAGGGAGGCATTGGTGATTCAAGGAGAGAAGAGAACATACAAATAGTCATCTATGTGAGCCTGGAGGTATATAAAATAGGAAAATAAACTAGGGGTGCTAGTGTGCAGAGAAGGCTCACTTTAGGCAAGGAGTTGTGAATTTTAAGCAAGACCTATTATTTGTGCTGTTTTTCTCTAACCATATTTTGCACTCAGAGCAGGGGTAGGGGACGTGGAGATGTAAATGTAATCAGTATTAGGATTGCCAGCAGAAGACATGGAAGGGAGAGGAAAGGGAGCTCAGATCTATGCAAGGCAGTGGCCAATGCCGGAGTAAAGAGAAAGTGAAGAAGCAGGACCCTGGAAGGGCAGGATGGGGAACAGCAGAAAGCTGGTAAGAGCAATCAAGTCTCAGAGGAATTGAAGGGGTGAAGGGCTTAGGGAGGAGAGGAAGCTAGTTGAAAATCAGGGGTGGTGGCCAGAAAAGGGGATGCTGACAATGAGGTCAAGAGTACGAACAGGGGAGCAGGCAGCTGAGGGAAAGACAAACTCATGGGGAGAGAAGCAGGAGTGGAGATGAGAGGCTGAGGTATCAGAAGCCTCCTCCAGAGGGATCAACTTATTTGCAGATGGTGGCAGAAGTAGCAAGGAGAGGTTCACAGTAGCCCAATGCTAAAAAAATGTTGAGGAATGAGGGATGATGACCCAGAAATCTGCAGGTGACCACAACACAGGGATAACAGGATATTCTGTAATGGCACCAGTTTCAAAGCTGGGAATTTTAGCAGTGGAGCAAAGAAAAGATGGCTACCCATTCATAGCTAGGCCCACTGGCTGCAGGAGTAAGGGACAGTAAACAGCCCCATCTAGAGGGCAGGAGGGATAGCTATGGCTTGCTGGTGGGCCAACACTCTTCAATTCATTCAGTACTCTCCCAGAGAAGCTGAATATAAGCTCCGGTGGCAAATTCACAACGTGAATTCAGAATCTGTCAAAGGAAAGAAGACTCATAACAGGAACATCTGGGTGGCAACAAACAAGTATACAGTATCATTTTTTAAAAAATACAAGAATACACTATCTCCACTTTATCTACAACTGAAGTCAGAACCAATCAACAAACCAGTATTCCCTTATAATAAAAATTCGCAGAGGGCAGGAAGTGTGTCCTTTCTTAGTTATTTTTTGTAGGAAACTATAACCACCATACAGCCATTGTACTTTTATAAACTAATGAGGCCAGAACTTAAACATAACAAAGTCTTCTTCCTCAGCTCATTAATCAAGAGTTCCAAAGGACTGAAGAAATACAATAAACACTAGGTCAATATACATCATGAGTTCCTTAACATATTTCCTTAATGTCATTACTTCCTGCTTCCCAGCCCAATTCAATGGAGGCCCCAAAGAACTTTGGTATTCACCACAGAATTTCCCCACAGTAAATTTCTAAGTGTCTATAGAGTATTGGATGAGTTGACTATGCCTCTAAGTATCAGTAGCACACTATTACTTGAATAACATTTCTGGCATCTTCTGGAAAGATTATTAATTAGCTCATAGAAATAATAGCTAATTCTCAACAGTTCACAATAATGTACACAAGAACTATATAAACAACTAAAGCTAGGTCCTGAATTTGAGTCACTAGTTCTCTCCCTTTACTACTAGTATTTTATCAGTGCCATCAACACTGAGTAAAAGAAAGGTTAGTCATGTGCAAAGGTTCACACCAGTAATCCCAGTGATTTGGGAGGCCAAGGAGAGAGGATCACTTGAGGCAAGGAGTTCAAGACCAGCCTAGGCAACATAACAAAACCCTGTCTCTATAAAAAATAAAAAAATTAGCTGGGTATAATGGCACATGCCTATAGTCCTAGCTACTCAGGAGGCTAAAGTGGGAGGACTACTTGAGCTTGAGAGTTTAAGGCTTCAGTGAACTATGACCATGCCACTGCACTCCAGCCTGGGCAACAGAGAAAAACCTCATTTCAAAAAAAAAAGAAAAAAGACAAGTGAACATACAGGTAAAGCCAATCAACAAATATAATTTTTTAAAATATTGAAAGAATTCTGGTACTGGCCATGATTCAAACTAGGAAAATAGATAAACAGAGCCAAAAGACCTTCTCCTATTTTATTTGCCTAAACTTACTGTACTTGGGTGAGACTGTCAAAGATAAACTGCTAAAGATTTTTTCAATACCATAATGATCTTTAAACCAGCCAAGTTATTTTCCACCACTAAAATTGCCTATATTGGAAAGAACAATTTGTATACCTAACCCTGAATTGTAACCCACATAAAGAAGAAAGGAAGGAAGGAAGGAAGGAAGGAAGGAAGGAAG